ACACCTGACTCTAATCCTACAAGATCCCTGACTTTGTGCAAGTGTACAAAATGTGCAAGTATAAAAATTGATGCTGTTTTGAAAGCAAAGGGTAGTCACACCAAAGATTTAGATTTCTCTTCTGCTCGCTCACTTTGCATTTTGTAAATAAACATAAACAATTGCAATATATATATATATATTTGAAAACATTCTTACTTTATAGCATTTTTTCACACCTGCCTAAAACTTTTGCACAGTACTGTATGTGTGCAAGTTGTCAGTGAATAAACCATGATTAGTTTTATGGCAGTAATTCTTGGTCTGAAATGAAGTCGTCTTACTGATCAGAACTGTAGAGTAACATGATTTGTGAGTGGAAATACAGTTTGATTGTTGGGTTATTCTTACCTAATTTTTGTGTCCTGTATAAATTTGTAAGCAAGCCAGATATGCACGATTAGATCAACTGAAAAAAGAGCAACAAAATTACCAAATAAACCGCAACTACTTTGTTTGCAAAATAACTTCTGGCTCCTTCTTAACTATAAATCAGTTAAATTATAGTTAAAATGGGCTACTGTTTAGTATGCTCTATGAATTATATATAACAAGCAAGATTTATCCTATCTTAAAATATATAATGTGGAAGAATAATCGTTGTTTATTATGTTTGTTTCCATTCCTCTTTTAATTAAACTATTGCTACAATATAAGATATAGAACAAAATACGATGTTCTAATGTTGCTAGTTATTGAGATACGTTTTGGCTGGTCATATTGTAAATTTTAATGTAAATATATAAATATGTATATATTTAATGTAAATATAAAGTTTTTTTAATCTGAAATGAGAGATTACATTTCCAGTCTTCACTGCAAGTAGAAATTAAAATAGCTTCCATTGTTTTCAGTGGGTTTATTTTAAATTCTTAATTGCTACGAGAGGTACATTTTTCTGGAGGAAGGTTTTCCTTCTGGCAAGAGGAGGTTTTGTCTTTCTCTCCTTAATGTGTAATCTATGTAAATAATGGCTTCATGTTCTTCCATCAGTGTTTTTAAAAATTCATTGACAGTAGCAATGAAATCTAGTAGCGATTTTAAAATCTAATTACAGTGTTGGGAAATAAGACATTTTGTGGATAGACAATGTATATAAATAGTACACATACCTTTAGGAAAAAAACACTGGAAGGCTGCACGCCCATAGTTGGTTGCCCTACCTACTATTAATGTGCATCCCCTCTGCATTACTTAGTACCATTGGACTGAAATAGGTTCTTCCATTTCTTCCACCTTAATAGGTCTTTAATATATGCAGTAATAAGCAGTTCCATCATAACTTACGTTTGGAGGTAGTTATTTTGTATGATTATGTATCATTTTATAACTTAAGTATTATAAACACACTGACAACCACAATATATTATTGAATGAAGGATTTGGGTTTTGTAGCAGTGCTAGAAGAATGCAGTGCAGTTAATTCTCAAATATATTTATTTATATAATGGCATCTCACTTATTCTCCCCAAAATAAGTGAGAATTTTTTTAAACCTTAGCCATTTTTAGTATTCCAGGTGCTATAGATAGGAAGAAAAATACAAATTAGCTATACAGATAGGGGCAGTAAAATAACTATAGTTCAGGTATGAATGGTTTTAAACATAAACTACTGAATTTAAAAAATGCCAAATTTGGGACATATCTAGGAAATGATATACTGGTTGTCTATAAAGATTTCACCGTTTCCTTCACAGATAGAAACACTTTTGGCCAAACAACATTTCAAAGTATTTAGTTGTAGAATATCTACCCCTGATATGAAGATATACAATAGCATTGATCTTTTCTAGGGCTACGGAGTGCGGGATAGGTTCACAGAAATAAGTAAATTGACAATGCTTGCAGAGCTGGAGAAGAACAGAGTACACCACAATGCTGTGTGAAATACAAAATGGCTTTCCTTTCAAGATGATGACTTGGTATATAACATACAGCCTTTTAATATAGCTAATGGAAATAGATTATACCCTTACTGTTTCATACTTATGTTTTCATCTTAATATTTTGTTTTTAAAGGTAAGACACAAGTCATCCCGAAAGGTCTATGCTATGAAACTTCTGAGCAAGTTTGAGATGATAAAAAGATCAGATTCTGCATTCTTTTGGGAAGAAAGAGATATCATGGCATTTGCAAATAGCCCTTGGGTTGTGCAGGTATACTGTTATTTGGATTCACATTTGCCAGGAACTATAATATTTGTCTTGAATAAGTTTCTAAAATTTTGTTTGGTCAGTAATATAGAGCACATATAATTTCAAACCATGTTAATTTACTGACCTGCAGTTTTAAAACTCTCCTTAAATATATTTATATTTGAATATGTATATCTTACAAATTACATAAAATAATTTCAGTAAAAATATTTTGCAGTTTGTATTCTGGAATGCAAAGAAATAAATTGATAATTATGCACAATGCTAATTGATAAGTAATTATGAAAAATAGTCTGCTTAGTGTGTTCATATAAGTCATGCCTGTTATGTTTGTGCTGAATAATGTAACAAGGTATAGCACTTGCCTATGGATGTCCTGGTTTAAATAGTCATATCCCAGTTTGTTCAACCAAAATACATAAGACCGTTTTCCTGAACATGCAGCCCTTTCTGTTTCTTTGCAGTTAAAACAGGAAGTTTCTAACAATAGTTTTTTGTTTTATCCAAATTAGAAAATCATGGTTATCAATTTTGGATGCAGACAGAATTTTAATTTAGGTTGTCTATTAATATTCTGGTGTGTTAAGTTAGTATCTATGACTTTCAGTGTTGTTATGTAAAACTGTGGTTAATTAGGGACTTTCCTGGGTTAAACTGCAGTCTGTGCAAAAAGAAGAGTTTATAAGCTGCATGTGGAAGAGATATAATTAACTGAATGGAGATTGTAGTTGGATATTTCTGCTTCCCAAGCTTATTGTGTGATAGTGATAAATTTGTAAGTCATCCCTCTTTGCACCTCTCTCAAGTGGGTATCCAGTTCTTTTTGTTTTTATATATGCATATGATCAGTTTCTTCTCTCTGTTTCTGTGTGTGTGTATATAAAAAAAAAATCAATTCATCTTTATTTTGTTTGATGGACTTATTGAAGAATGCAATTTAGTCTTCAACTATTAAGAAAAATCTCAAATTCACTACACTTCCTCTTTCAAAAAGAAAATAGGGATAGGAATGCAGCACACAATGATTTTAGCCTATTATCTTTTATAGTTGTTTTATGCATTCCAAGATGATCGTTACCTTTATATGGTGATGGAATACATGCCTGGTGGGGATCTGGTGAATTTAATGAGCAACTACGATGTTCCGGAGAAATGGGCAAGGTTTTATACTGCAGAAGTTGTTCTTGCGTTAGACGCTATTCACTCCATGGGTTTTATTCACAGGTAAATATTTTTACAGTAGCTGATATTCTCAGCATCTAAATTGTATTAAAAGTATTTTGACATTTTAATTTATAATACTACTGGACTATTCACAGTGTCAGGCTTGAGCAAATTGGAGGTGATCAGCACATGAAACTTAATTGTTTCATCCTCTCTGCAATAAATTTGAAATAAGGATGAGACTATTACTGTGTGTAAATTATAAACCTTGTTTTTAGGGCCGTAAGACTCATTTTGGAATGTAAGAAACCTTGTTATGTTTTGCTTACAGTGAAATAGTTTCAGTCCTCTACATCTCTCATGGACAGCATAGGATGAATTACAAAATCTTTCTGTTGGAATTAGGGCAAAAGCTTTTTGTGTCCCATTACACTCTTGTCCCATGTGACAAAAGGAGTTGGACAGTTGGGGAAGCCCCTTTCCGAGAGCTTCTGCTTGCATAAATAGTTAAGATCCAAACCATTACTAATTAGGTATATCTTTGTTATACCTGCTTGCACAAACATTGTATAATGTGTGCTTGTGGCAAACCATTTAAATGACAATAACCAAGAATTTAAGGAATATCAAAAGTATGACAAAATCATGACTTTCTATTCCCATTTATTACAGAGAAAATGACAAAGATAGATACGCTTTATTATGGTCAGTGACTAGTGAAATGACATTGTTATGAATAAAATAGTGTATGGATAATGTTCAACTTTTAATAGATTAATATTCCACAAAACATGAAGATAGTATGTCCAGAAAAAAGGTAAAATAAGATTGTTTTAGCACTATTGAAAGTACAGGTAAACAGATTCTTTTTATTTAATTTGTTTTTAATTGCCTAATAACTGGATTTGTATTGATGGATTACAAGTTTAGTTAAAACAAACAAAAAATAAATGTTAAATATTTAATAATTCAGAAAACAATGGTGAAAATAAGAATGTATAGAAGCCACTATCCCAGTATCATGTGCACACCTTAAAATAAACCTAACTATGAATATGCTTAATAAAAATGTATTAACTACTTCCTAAAAATATATTAATATAGATAATAGATTGCTTCCCTGAGGAGGGTATTCCACAGCTGGCATCCTGCAATTGAGGAGCCTTCCCCATTCTAGTCATATAGATGAGGGCCTTTGAGCATGATGAGAGTCATCTGGACAGGTATATTAGAAAGGAGAAGTTCCTTTTAGAGCAATGTTTTCCAACCTGGGCAATTCTCAGACTTATGAACTTCAGCTCACAGAATTCTCAGCAATGGCTATGTTGGCTAGGGAATTATGGGAGTTGAAATCCACACATCTGGAAGCTGCTGAAGTAGGGAAACACTGTTTTAGAGAAACATAGCCCCAAACCATTCATGACTTTATATTTCAACATCAAGACTGAACTGGGATTGAAAATAGATGGCAGTCACTGCAGCTGACAAAATACTAATGTCTAGTTGTATCAGCCAGGAAACTTGTCCTTCAATTAGGGGCCCCCCCCCCCAGAATCTGAAACAAGTACCCCTTTGTACAGTAATCAATAGATTAGCAGAGCTTGTATAACTGATGTCAAGCTATGCCTGTCCATATAGGGTTGCAGCTTGTAAAGCTGATGAAAGGCAATACTAGCCCTTGAGACCACCTATGCTATTAGTGGAACTAATGATAGTTCTAGGGGCTTTCCCAATCTCTATATCTGATCTTTGAAGAGAGAGTATAGGTACCTCCAGAATAGCTTGAGCACTACTTATTGGGACACACAATCGATACCAACAATATCCCCATCTTGTCTGGAATGACCTGTAAATTATAGACTATTATCATGTCTGAGGACATTTGTTGCCTGATTTAGGTTAGCTGAAAAGAAAATGTAAAGTTGCATATTTAACCAATTGAGTCCCTCTCCGGTGTGCTCTCTTTCAAAATCAGGTGTTTTGAATAGCTGTAGAACTAAATTCAAATAAGAATCTTAATACCTGACTATGGAACAGGCCTCATCTGTTTACACAAAACAATTACATCTTATAAGTAGGGGAATGTACTCTGGGAATGTACTCCAATACCTGCCAGCCTCTTTTCTCCCTTGTTACTGTTTATGGATTTTACTGTTGCACACATTACTGGCCAGTTATTGTGCCAGTGAACTTTTAAAAGGATCAAGAAATAGATGATGTGAAAGATTTTGGCATGAAGCCCTATAGAGCCCCTAGCATAAATAATACTGTACTAAATGGAAAAATGAGATGATGTAAGTGTAAAGTGTACATCACAATTAAAGGAGAATTTGTTTCAGAAAGGAGAAGAAATATAAAGACAGTTATGATCCAGAGTTCAACTCCCAGTTTGCTAGCTGTTGTTTCTTTGTAACTTACATGTTTTATGGGATAAAGCTCAATGTTGTTCTTGGTTAATAAATAAAACTTGGTCTGATAAAATTTCTTTTATTGTTTTCAGAGATGTAAAGCCTGATAATATGCTGCTAGACAAATCTGGTCATTTAAAACTAGCAGATTTTGGTACCTGTATGAAAATGAATAAGGTTAGTGGACAAAAACTATTAATTAGCTTTTGTGGTTGTGAAAAATCATGATACTCTGGAAAAATAGGTATCAGTGTGTGTTTAAATTAAGAATTTTTAACTGGAGTTCATACTTCATTTTAATTATTTTCCAAGCAGATGTAAGAAAACATCTTACTTCATATACCTTTCACTGTAACATTAAGGTCCCAGAGAATAACTCCTTTAAATGAACTTTGCTTTTTTATAGGAAGGTATGGTACGATGTGATACAGCTGTTGGAACTCCGGATTATATATCCCCAGAAGTATTAAAATCACAAGGTGGTGATGGTTACTATGGGCGAGAATGTGATTGGTGGTCAGTTGGAGTCTTTTTGTATGAAATGCTTGTGGGTGAGTATCAGAATAATATTATGTAAATTAATTATATTATGAACTAAACTACCCTATTTTTTATTTTCATTAATATTAATTACTGGGTATCACTGTAGAGACCAGTCCTAATAAGATTATTTGAATCAAATTCCATTGGGTTCAGTGATGCTTATTCCAAAGTAAATATATATATATATTATTGTAGCCATTGATACTTTGATGCAGCAGTCTTTTAGGTTTAAATTGCTATTGCTGAATACTAGGTCAGTGAATAGAAAAACTTTAGCCATTCAGAAATTGGTCGTGGATATGCAAAGTGAAGTAGTGTACTTTATTGGCCTCATTTAGATATATTGATTGCAGTGAAACAGAGTTGGTCAGTTAGTCATAAATGACATGATTTCTTATTATTTGGGGCATAAATGTAGTTTAAAATCTCACTCCAAAGTAAATGTAGAGTTCTTATTCAGATATCTTCTCTCTTATTAGTTCTTCTCCTGGTAGTAATAGTTTCTTAGGTATGATGATAGGGGTTCTGGCTTTCATTTACTCAGAGCACTATGGTTTTTAAACAATTAAACTTTATTTTAATGTAACATTTTATGGAAATAAATATTTTCTGTTTAAAGTACATAATCATATACTCATTTATAGAATGATAGGTTACTTTTCCATATATAAGTTTATTGTATTTAACTGTTGGCTGCCTTTTTCCTCAGGCCTGTTCAAAGTTCTTTTAGATTTCTTCTCCTCCTAAGAAAATGCCTAGGTATCCTTTTACCACTATAAGGAAATACAACTCATCTACGATTTCATCACATATTTATTATACAGGTAGTCCTTGTTTAGTGACTGCCTTGGACAGCGACCATTCACGGTTACAACAGTGATGAAAAAGTAACTTTATAATCAGTCCTCGCATTTACAACCTTTGCAGGTCTTTAAAGCAAAGGAAAACTGAAGTAAGTTCATAAGTACAGTTATGGTTTCACTCAACGACTGCTTCACTTAACGAATGAGTTGCTGGTCCCAATTGTGGACACTAAACGAGGACTACCTATACTTCTGTACACCAATCTACCAAGACTCATGGTGGTATTCCCCCTTTCAAGATTAGTAGTGCTATCTTTCTAGAATAAGTGTCTAAGTAGAATTTCTTCTACCTATAAATAAAACCAGTTTCTATTTCTTGTATTGATAAAATATCAGCAACCACTTTTTTCTTCCCAGATATATATAGCCATACATACATGACAATAAACTGCTGTGTTGGATTCTTCTTTAACTTCTTTCAGTCCTTTACAACTTCTGAAGACCTCATTGCTATTGTCTCTTTTTCTGTTTAGATTTCTTAATTTCTATGACTCCTTTGTGAATTTCATTTGCTATTTGCTCATCTGGGATTGTTGAAATTATATCATTTGCAGTCCCTAATGAGTAGCCAGAAGTTATTTCTATTAGAGTAGATTTCAGAGCCAATTCAGCCACCTTTGTACTTAAAAAACAAAAAACAAAAAAACAACTTATTTGAATCCTCTGTCTTTTCACCCTTTCTTATATCATCTTTATCTTTCCCGCTTTCTTTTCCTACACTGACTATTCCAGTCTCTTTTTGTGCCTCTTTTCTTCTTAGAATGAAATACATAAATGGGTTCTACAAAAATGAGTATGAGGTGGATGTGGGAAATTAATATACATGATGATAGAAGATCCTTTTCCTTTTTATGATTTTGATATGATAATGATAAGAATATTTTGAGCTCTTAACATTAGCATAAGAAAGCCATTTTTTTCTAGCCAATTACTGTTGAAGTGGTGCAAAGTTCTGCAATCTAATCATCTTCTTATTTTATTAGCTTTAAAAATCAGTTGTGTGACTTATAATTTTCTCTCTCTTGTTTTAGGGGATACACCTTTTTATGCAGATTCTTTGGTTGGAACATATAGTAAAATTATGAATCATAAGAATTCTCTTAGCTTCCCTGATGATAATGATATTTCTAAAGATGCAAAAAATCTTATTTGTGGTTTTCTAACAGACAGGTAATATATTTAAAATCATATTCTGGAAAAAGTACTGTGATTTTTAAAAAAACCTTGAAACATTCAATTATTAAATCAATTCTTCAGTTAAATCATCTTTTTGTAAATTATAGGCTATGTTCATATAACACACTAAGAAATTGTTTTAACCATGAGTTATTGAAGACATTAATCAGTGTCTTTGCTTATTTTGTTTTCCTTCTTTGTAGTTGTACTTGTTTGGCATCTCTATGGATTGGATAGAAGTTTGAGCACAACAGAAAACGAAATAGTTAAATAACAAACTGTGAACTGTCTTTCATGTATTACACTAAACCACAATTGTATCATTATGTCAGCAACAAACTAGCTTCAAACTTGGTGTATTGCTTTAAAACAAGTCATAGTTAATTTACTACGAAAACTTTATTATTGTTATTCTACAGGTTGCTCAACCCTTTGTGCAAGATCTTAAATGATTTTTCCTCTGGATTTCCTGTCTTGAATAATTGTACTTTAAATCTTCAGCACTGTTATCTGCTTTTCCTGCCCCCCTCCCCCCCGTCCTAAAATGCAGCAGAGATTTTTCTAATAATTTGAAAGATTTGGAAAGAAATGTTTTTAGAGCTATCACATGATCAGCCAAATGTAGATACAAGTAATGATGGAATGGTTGCTGATTAAACTGGAAAAATTGTTTAGATTGAAGTCAGATAGAAAGTTTGTGGAGGGGGTGGAGTACTTAATTTGTCCTTATATATGCATTTGCAGTCCTGGAGTTTCAGACAAATGTTTCTGACAGCAAACATGCTTTTTATTACTGAGAAGGAGGGAGACTTTCCCATCCTATATTTAAAGCAAAGAAACTGCTAATGTTGAAATAAATGATTTTCTTGTTTAGAATAGGCTTTGATCTAATGTTTCATTTGTTTATATATTACTTTCAGTGTTATCCCCAGAATGCACATGCAGCATGTGTAGTATAATTTAAAAAATATTTCACTTTTACAGGGAAGTTAGATTAGGAAGAAATGGTGTGGAAGAAATCAAGCGACATCCATTTTTCAAAAATGATCAGTGGTCTTGGGAAAATCTTAGAGATAGTAAGTAATTTTCTGTACAAAATTAGTTTTACTTGTTATATAATTGATTCGTGTGTTATGTTTTCCGTTTAAATGTTTAAAGAACATAATTCCCTACAAACGAAACATAGATAAAAGAAAAAACAGTTACTGACCTGCTTTTTCAAAAGGATAAGTTTTTTAAGAGCTGTTCCACACTTGAAAGTTTATGTACATCCATTGAGATCTTATATACCTTTTTTCGATTGACAAAGTGTGTTTTCATGCCTGTTCAGTTTGTAAAGTAGTTTTCCAAATGTGGGGTATTGTGGGCTGCTATTGGGGAAACATAACCCCAACTGATTTGGGGCATGTAGAATTCATTGTGCAGTTCTTAAAAATATACAAAAAATACATATGAACAAGTACACTGGTTATAAGAAACTCTATAAAATATTTAAAGTATTTAAAAACCAGAACCTAAGTGTCTTCTACTTATTGAACATAGAATAAATCTTTAATACTTGATTCATGGTAACTATTTCTAATCTAGTGATTAATATTAAATAATCAACTTCTCAACTTCACAAAATTGTTTTGACTTCTATTTAACAATAATTACAAAATCAGTTTTTAGCCATTCTGGATTTTCCCTTTGTTTGATTTTCCATTATCCCAAAGATTATTTGGTATGTTACAGTATTAGAATTCAGACATTTAATATTTTGACATAATGTAACAAAATAAGAGTAATTGTGACTATTTTATATAATTATTTATGTGGCACCTCCTATAATTTATGTTTGCTCTTTTACATAACGGAAAACAGTAGCAAAATCTCTTGTGATTTACAGAAAATACCAGTGTTATATATGGAAGTAGCTGCTTTGATAAGTCAGTTTATAACAGTTCTCTCTTAAATTTAGGAAGATTACGTTTGTATTCTTTTGAAAACAAAATATCCATGCTTCTGGAATATTCTTTTTAGGTCTCTCATTTATCTTTAAATATTTTGTTAGGGTTAGGGTAATTAAACTAAATTCATTAGCAGTACAATGTTATACGTTTTGACTGATAATTAAATCTTGCTGAACATTTTGATAATAGTATAAAATATTGCAGTCTACCATTTTGTCGTGATCCTGTTGCATTCACACACACACACAAAGGAGTCTAAACTCTGGAACAGCAGTAGCTTGCCTGACAGCAGCTTGCTTGAGTCTGGTCCGGCAGTGCAGGAGCACAACGTAGCATGAGATAGGACATCCAGCAGCGAATCACAAGCGAGGCACCAGCGAGACACAACGAAACACGAGTAAATACAAAGAGGGCATGAGGGGGTACTAGACGGTTGTCGTCCCCAAACCTCCCCTTCCATCGTGCCTATTTGTTAACGACATCCGATGTTCCTCATTTCGGAGGGCGAGGCTCCCTTCTTGTGAGTAGCCTTGCCGAATGCTTCTGCAACATTCTTTTTTCCGTGCATCTCGTCCTCACATCATTATCTCATTATTGAATACTAACTCCAGCTACACACTGTCCAACCCCACGTCTGACTGCTCAGCCTGCTGTTCATCCGGTGCAGCCTCTGACTCTGACTCCGAATCAGATTCAGAGCTGCCCATGACACATTTTTAGATTAATCTTGTCTCTTGATGGTTCAGATTTCTTAAATTCTTAAATTTACTTTTGGAGCAAATAATCTTTATGATATGACATTTATAAAGGGTCAGATTTGTCATAATGGGAAAAATATGAGCTTTCTCCTGTATCATAAATAATTTAGTAAGATATAATTCTTTATCCTCATCAGTTTTCATATCTACTCTTACGAAAATCTTTATTCCTTAAGTTCTGAAATGGTTGATGAAATTGATCTATGAAATCTTTCTGGTTTTCCTTTCCTTTAGAAAAAGAAGGTCAAAGTTCATCTCTATGTTCTGAAGAACTCATTCGACTATTTTTATGATAACATGGGGCTTTAGGCTTAGTCTGCAGTGGAGCCATTTATTTATCTTCCTATTATTTGCTGAACTTACATAATTTTATTATGGTTTTTGTGTTTCAGATATATTGATAATAAGCTTTTGCAGAATTGTTAACAGGTCTTTCTACAGATTTTTGATTTCTGACGTGCTCTTATTACCAGATGATTAGACTTGTGGAATGTGTTCTTTCTGGGCTGCCTTTGAAGACTACCAAAATACTGTGAGCCATGTTTTGACTAATGCTAGTCACTATGGTCACATTACACTTATTCTGCGAGCCCTGTATTGATTACCAGTAGGTTTCTGGGTGCAATTCAAAGCACTACTTTTGACTTTTAAAGCCCTCTGTGGCTTGGTGCTTTGGTACATTCAGGATTGCCCATTTCAGCTAAGATCGATCCATTTGAGGGCATCTTTCTGGAAAAATATGCTTATGTTGCCTCAATTCCATGGGGTGAGGAGAGTGGAAGCCAGTTCATGCCATTTTTCCATGGGTCTTATATTTTGGAACAGTTTTCTTCTAGAAGCTAAGCTGGCCCCCTTGATGACTGCCTTCTGGAAGTTTGTGAAGCCTAACTCTTCCAGAGAGCTTCTGGGGAATAATGATTTGTTTACTTACTTACTTACTTACTTACAGAACTTATATGGTCCGCCTATCTCATATAATTCTTGGTGACTCACAATCAAAACAAATATCCTTCCCCACCAGGAGCCAGACCAGACAGCCTCCCAGCTCAACCCCCATCCTAGCCCAATGCTTGAGGGAAGAGCCAGGTCTTTATGGCCTTCCAGAAGGCTAAAAGTGTAGGAATCCCTCAGATTTCAAGTGGGATGGAGCAGCCATCAAGAAAGTGTGCTTCTGGGGTCCCATCAGGTGACAACATTTAAGGGAGAGTATTTGGAGCCTGCCCACCCTATAAAACCTTGAAGGATGGACAGATACTCTCAGTGGTCCACAAATAATCTGGCTCTGGGCCATGTAGGGCTTTAAAGGTGATAACCAGCACCTTGAATTGCACCTGGAAAACAACTACAAGTCAGTGCAGCTCACTCAGCAGTGGTGTAACTCAGGTGAACCACGAGGCACCCAAAATTCTGCATGCTGCTGCATTCTGGACCAGTTGCAGCTTCTGGATGGTCTTCAAGGTTAGCCCTACGTAGAGCATGTTGCAGTAATCCAAATGGGAGGTAACTGTCGGCCTTCCCAAGTAGATCAGACAGGAAACATGACCAGATAAGCTAACTCTACTTTATTGTAAGGCTGTATTAACAGAATCTTGCAAGTCTGATAATGTAAATCTCCTGCTGTCTCTTTTACGGCCTGAGAAGTTAGGGAGATTCCTTTCTGAGTTTCTTTCTCTGTCCATTATGCACCTGTGGGCTATGTCCTCTTATCTTATCGTTCCCTAGGCAGCATCTCTTCCCCCTATCTCCTAAGATCATTCCCACATACCATTATAGTAACTAAGGCATGAGTGACAGTGAGCAAGGCCTCTTGGTCCAGGAATCAGTGCAATTGTCTCACAAGATGAATTTCTGCAAAAGCTACAAGTCCAGGAACACCCCCAAATTGGGCACCAGTTCTGTCTGAGGGAGTGTTACCCTGTCCAGAGTCAGATGTCAACTCTCCTGACCCCAGGAGGCCAAAGCCCCGCAACCACTGCGTTTTAGTAGGGTTGAGTTGCAGCCAATTTCTCCCATCCAGGCCCTTACAGCTTCCAGGCACTGAGCCAGCACCTGAAGAGCATCATTTGCTCAGCATAGGGTAGAGATGTATAATTGGGTATCATCAGCATACTGATGATACCCAACCCTATGCTGCCGGATGACCTCTCCCAGCAGCTTTGTATAGATGTTAATTAGGGGGGAGAGACCCAAGCCCTGAGGCACTCCATATAACGGGCCTAGGGCTGGACCCCCCACCAGCACTGACAGGTACTGGCATGGAGAGAGGAGAACTACTGTACAACAGTGCCTCCCACTCCCAATCCCTGGAGCCAGTCCAGCAAGATAACATAGTTGATGGTATCAAAAGCCGCTGAAGATCCAGAAGGGCCAGGATGGACACACCATCCCCATCCTGAGTCCACCAATGGTCATCCACAAGTGTGACCAATGTTGTCTCAGTACTATAGCCCAGCCAGAATCCTGACTAAAGAGGTTCCAGATAATCTGCTTCATCCAGGGCTGTCCACAGCTGGGAGCCCACCACTCTGTCAACAACTTTCCCTAAAAAGGGATTGTATGCCATCTGAAGCTAGATTTTTTTTACTAATTGTATTATTTATTATGTGTGTTGTTGTGTATTATTGCATTACATATATTTTAAATATTTTAAATAACTTGAATGTTATATATAGAAAAACTGAGCAGTTGGCAGTAAAATGAGAAGAAAATTGTAATGTTTTATATGTTATAGTTCCTTTATTTTGTGTGATATCTCTTCAGTAACCACTTTAACATTTTTTTTTTTTAATGATCAGTTTATTTTGCAGAATTGAGACACTCAGATCAGCAGCTTCCTATGAGCAACTGTGGAACAGTTTGTGCCTCTTAATGCTATAACATTTAAACTTGGAATCCTTAAGTTTCTGAGGGTTTTAAGCATGCATGGCTCAAAATATTATAAGGATTTCTACATTGTATGATCTTGTAAAATAACTCTTCATTCTTACATACCAGCCTCGTTACATTTATAACTGTTAATATATACATTTTAATAAAAATTATTAATCTTTGTTCTCTTGGGGGGGTTTTGGGGATAGCTGTAGCACCTGTTGTGCCTGATTTAAGTAGTGATATTGACACTAGTAACTTTGATGATCTGGAGGAAGACAAAGGTGAAGAAGAAACATTCCCTATACCAAAAGCTTTTGTTGGCAACCAGCTACCTTTTGTAGGATTTACTTATTATAGTAACCATCAGTAAGTATATGTAGATTTAAAATTTTGGCTTGTCAATAAAAGTCATGAGGATACTTTATAATAGAAATATAACAAAAGTAACTTAATTACGATTGCAATTTTTAAAAACTGCCTTGTGTTAGCATACTGATATTTGAAACATTCTTATCCATATTATAGCTGTATCCAGTCTATAGGGTGAGCACATTTTGTAGAGCTCATTTTGGCTTCTGATAACCTGACCTGCATTTTGCTTTGTGTGTGTGTATTTTCAAATAAGGAATAAAGCCAGGATATTCAGACAAATTCCATTACATTCAATACAGTTTATTATTTTCATTAAGCTATGTTTGGTAAGTGCAGTGAAGTCTGGTAAGGAAAGAAGAAAATCTTAGACAAGTAAGCAATCTGGTTATTTGAAAAATTAAGTTATATGTAGTTAGTAGGGTTGGAATGATCTCTGATTCACTCCAAAATGATACTTTGGAGCACAGATGTAGCACTCTGAACTTAAAGCACCTACACTTTTCCAGGAATTATGCAGCTATCATAGAAGACATGCATGTGATTTTAAGAAAAGATGACAATACATTTCACAGGTTTAGAAATAAATAGCTATATTAAATGAGCATCAAACTGAGCAAACTGAGCAAACTCAGGGAGGCAGTGAAGGACAGGAAGACCTGGTGCAATATGGTTCATGGGGTCACGAAGAGTCGGACACACCTTAGCGACTAAACAACAAGCTATATTAAAAAACAAACAAAACATGAATATGTTACTATAAAGCCAATAGTGTGCTTTTTAGAAACAGCTCAACCATACATTATCAGGAATACCTGTTCAGTTTTTAAATATATTAAGCCAGGATTTTTTGACTCATATAAAATGCTTCAATTTTAAAGTGCATAGTATAGAGAAATAAATTGTAAGCTTTGATGAAAAGCAATCCAAATATATCTATAATGCTTACATTTTCTATGTGTTTTCATGTGCAAACTTAGCAAATTCAGAATGTGGTCCCATTCAGGTTTCATATAAATGGAGTACAGAAATACAGAAACAAAATGATCAAAAGGTTGGAATATTAAGTAAAGAAAAGGTAATAGGTGATTGATGTGAGGAGTCTGTAATCTAATGCCATAACTATAAAAGAGTTTTTTTCCTCATTAATAATTGCTTGAGAGAATTAGGATATACTATGATGGCCAGTAAGTTGTGGCTTAAAAGGCAGTTGGTCAGAATAATGATAACTATGACTATTAATGGCTGTCATGGAATTTTAGGTTTTAGAGACAATATTCCACTGAATGCCAGTTCCTGAAGAACAACAAGGGAAGAGGGCTGTTGCCTTCATGTCTTATTTTGAACATTGTACAAAGTAGTCTAGTTCTACTATAAATAACTAATGGCTGAAAAACCACACACACACACACACACGTGTCTTCATGATTTGTATAATAATATATGACAGAGTGACATTTTTCATTGAGGTAGGTAGCCTGTGCATGGTTAATTGTCTAGTATAGAATCTTCTGGGCCTCATACCAAATAGAATTCCATGATCTTTTTAGCTTTGGAAAAATAAAAGTCAAAATTTTATTTGAAATGTTTGTTAGTTTTTTTTCCCTACTTTTGAGAGTAAATATTTGTATTGTCTTTGTATCTTTCTAAAACTGCTAAAATTGTGTTCATAGGTATTTATCCACCTGCACAGCTAATTCTAATGACAACAGAGCAAGCACCAACGTAGATAAAAACTTGGTATGTTTTTTTTTTAATCTTTTGCCATTAGTTAATTTCTTTTCCTGATTTGTTTGCAGTTTGAAAAATGTCACATTTTAAACTAGGTGTAATTATATAAGTATAATATAACTTAAACAATAAACAACAACAACATAAATAAATACTTGTTTTAGGTTAAAATTCTGTACTTAAGTTGTATATATTGTTTTTGTTTTGTTTTGCATAAGTATTACAATAATTTAGCTAAACTAAAATTCCTTTTCTTTAACAAGTACCATGAATTGAAATGTTGAATAAAGATTTAAAGCAACATTTCCCAAAATTGATATAGCTATGTGCAGCATTTTAATATCATTTTTGCAGCTCCAAAATGTAAGTGCATATTTTAAAAACGAGAAAAACATATGCTTTTGTGTATGTTTTATATTTTAAATAAATAAGAGAATAAAGTTGAAAGATGATGTTTTGCATCCCTAGCAACTTTATGCCAAAATCAAAAAAAGACAGTTTTATTCTCAGTCTATTTCTATACATAGTTTAAGGCACCAATTTCACAATTGCATGTTCTGATAAAAGGCATTAAAACGGACTTTTTAAAAAGTTTAATATAAATATTCATTTTTACAGTTCAACCCCCCCAAAAAACAATGGAGTTTGTCAACATTCTATCTTAATGAAGAATCATAGGAGATTTCAATTAACAAATCTGCTTCTGGTGTTATATTTTTTCATTTTTTACATTAACTGTAAATGGGTTCTTAATCCACATTTAATTGTGTCAACTGGATGAAAATACTCATTTTAGCTTGATGTTAGCCCTATCAGATTGCTGCAGAAGTCACATCTGTGAGAAAAGTTTTACCATACTTCTTTAGTAATATAGTTAAAATACAAATGCTAACTTGTATCCATAAATAAAATTGTTTTACTTGTTGCTTCAACTTTTCCATGAATTTGCAAAATATTAATTTTAATCTCTTAGAAATCCAGACTAATTTCTTTTAAAAAACCAAATTTGTCAGATGCATAAGCCACTGTTGTTAACCAGTCACATTTGTGAAACTGCCTCCATTCTCCATTCTCTTGATGGAGAATGTTAACTCCAAGAATAAAACTCCCATCTTTCATTTCAACAGCCATCAATCTATCAATGTAGTAAGAGGTGCTTAGGTGCACTTCCTGATTCTTTCCACAAAACAGTAAAAATTCTGGAATTTAAAGGATGTGATTTTAAATAATGTATAAACTTCAAACTTTGTGGGAACAGTAAAATTCAAAAGTGAAGACTGTTTTTCCAGCTATAGTTTCTCTGTGAATACTACAATGCAACCAGTTTTAATGGTTTCATGCACTCTTTGGTTAGTCCCGGAGAGTAAATTATACACAATAACAACTGATGATCATTACCTGCATGGAAGAAACCAAACTTTAAACACTCACTGAAATGATTGTGGGTCCAGCAAGTATTTATCTTCTGATTCTCATTTGTACTCAACTGCACATCATTTGAACATTTATTAGTTTTTTCCAGTTATATTTTACAAGCAAGTATCCATATTCAAAATTAAAACAAGAGAATATTTAATTTAAATAAAATCTTAAATAGTTAACATAAAAGTAAAGGGGCCCTCATTATCAGCATTGTTGGATAATCTTGGTTATAGCTTTTTTAAGTCACTTTATGGATATGCAAAATGGTAAGCAGGCTTTGGTGTATGTGTAAAGGACACTATTAAAGCTGAGGTTGCTCAGTCACAAGGACTTGGGTCAGAGGCAAGGTCTTTTTTCTTTTTTCCCTCTGATCCCAGTACTGGTGAGACCACAAGCTATCTGATTGGAGAGGAAAGAATAAAGCTTCACATTCCTCTTTTCTCTCTTTCAAGGGCACTGGCAGAGGGGAGAGAAAGCCATTATCTTGATATATTCTAAAGACAGGATATGGGTTTTTTTTCCTTTTCAGACTGTGCTTTGCAAAATCAATAAGATGTGTATGGTCTTGTTTTTTACCAAGATTTTTTAATATAGAAGTATCAGAAAACCATTCCAAAAATGTTATGCTCTATAAAACTAGTTCTATAAAGTATAGCTTTCTTATTCATTTTGTGTTTTGTATTTAAAGCTGGAATCTTTGCAAAAAAATATCTATCAGCTTGAAGAACAGCTGCATAATGAAATGCAGTTGAAAGATGAAATGGAACAAAAATTCAGGTAATGAATTTCATTTTTTCAGAATGTCAAACATAACTTTCATGAAACATCACTTGTGGTATGTTAATGGCATTAAATATGTTTGTGTACATCAACAGTCTTGCAATGGGTGTAAGGAATTTTGGCAAACTACAGACTCTATGCTTTTTCCTATTCACACAGGTATTATTGTCTTTAGGTCTGTTTAAAAGCAAGAATTTTGAAAACAGTATCATCAAAAGTTTATGATTATGATAGCATGGACCCTTTTTATTTACTGATATTAAGAAGAAGAATATTAAAAGGAACCTTGTGGAATTTGCATTTGCATGAGCATTTTTAGTGTTAAAATTAGGAAAGATGGGAATCATGTTTAGATTTTTTTATAATTTGATAGAAAAAGAGCCTTGAATCTACTATTTGTGTGTTAGCTGTAATAATTTCTAAGCTATAATGTAGTTTCTTGTCTTATCTCAATTTTGCTATGCAAAATCACTAATTCATAAAGGAGGGCTTATAATTTAGCAAATTACACTTTGAGGTTCTCAAGCTATTTTATATATTGCTTCAGATCATGTATAGTTTTCAGAGGCCATTTTTGTACAAAACAAGAATTCTCTTTTACCTGGGAATAAGTATTGTGCTAACATTGGTTGATCAGGCCTTTTTCATTCCTCCTTTCAACAAATGTGACTAAATAAATCTAGGCAGAATCGTATGGCATGTTTATCACTGTATATGAATGAGGAACCAGAGAAGCATTCAGGCATTGGGTTGTTGGGATAAACTGTAGATAGAGCTGTCCTGATACACTTAATTGCTCCCCCTGCTGGATAAGCAAGAATTCTTAACAATTGTGGCTTACCATTTCAGGCTGATGTGACCAGTTAAATGATACTTTTCCCGCTAGTGCTAGAGCAACCATTCAACTCTACTAGACAGATCAGTTTTTCCTATTATAGAATATAGGGCAAGGATATATTTCCTTCTATGTGTTTTAATTGCCATTTTATTAGTTCTCTGTGGTACATGGGAGTTGTAGTCTAACACATGCCAAAGAGGAAAAAGGAGCAAAGTATATCATTCTGAAATGCCTGGTAGTTTTAATGGAAAAGAGGTTTACCACTAGTATCAGTTGGGTTTGACACTGCCTGCTTAACCTGGTTTGTTTGATCAGTGATGCTCTGAATAGAAGTAAAATTTATTACCCGATACATAATTGCATGTATTAAAAAATCTGCTCATAGCAGCATGTATGAGAAAAACCTCATGTTTTCCCAAGATTTTTGGGTTCATTTCGTACACCAAGATATATGGGAATGTTTAAGAAAACAAGCACAAAATTTAGTGCCCTGTTCTGTGCAGCTCTTTCCTGAGTTTTGGTTACTAGATCCCGTTTATAACTTTTCTGAAATGAAAAGTGGTGGTAAAACAGTTAAGATAAACTGGATATCTTTAGAATAGGGAGTCACAGCATGGGAAGCTTTTTATGCTTTGGATATGTGCCTGATGTTTTGCTATATTGATCAGCTACATATGAAATATTTTGTTTTAAAGGCAGTAAATAAAATTCAGCTCTCACATTCTTTATAGAACATCAAATATTAAACTAGACAAGATAATGAAGGAACTAGATGAAGAGGTAAGTGTTTGGTTATTAGTTTTTCCTTATTAACTTTGTTAGAAACTTACACAATTTCACATTACACTTAGTAGGAATAAATAAGAATATATTGCTGATATGTATTCAGCAAAAACGTATGGGTTGAATTTAGACCATCTGTCAAGATATGAATGGACCTAGGTTTCTCCTAGGCTCGCACATTCAATGTTCCCTCTTATCCTCCAGTGCATCTGAAAAAATATAAAAAAATAGAAACTTTATGCTTCAGTCACAGATTTTCTGCTATTTAGTATACATGTTTGGAATTTTTAAAAATAAGTAACTTTAAAAAAAGTCCCATCCTAAATTCTATCTGAAGTTGCTTTGTTTTAGACAAACATAATTTAGGTCAGTACTGGGAAAAAAAAAATGGCTGCTTGCAACATGATGGGATATTGGGTGTGTTTCTCACAGCCCCCCAAGAGTGTGAGAGCCAACATTTTCATTGGGGATTTTGATGGATTTTAAGGGGCAAATTGGGTGCCTTAAGCCTTATACAGACTTAAGATACCCACTGTAGCACTTAAGTTTCCAATCCCCCCATAGAACTCTTTTTCTGATATATTTTCAAAGTGCACACAGCCCTCATCGTTATATAAAAATCAATATTCAGTTACCTACATACCTGTTTATTACATTTTTAAAAGTATCATGCATTTTTATTATATTTATTGTAAAAAAAATTGATTAAAATAATTGCAGTTCTGTATTAGTCAATATTCAGATGAATGTTTAGCTGTAGAGTTTTATTGCTAAAAATTACAACTTACAGGGAAATCAGAGAAAAAATTTGGAATCAACAATTAATCAAGTAGAAAAGGAAAAGATGCTCTTGCAACACAGAATAAGTGAATATCAAAGAAAAGTTGAACAGGAGAATGAGAAACGTCGAAATGCAGAAAATGAAGGTAAGGTGTATTTCTATTTTGTTTATTACAATAAGAAAACTTTTCATACAATCATAGGGCTGAAAGAGACCCTGGAGGTATTTTGGTTCAACCCTCTGTCCAGGGTAGGATTCTTCAGACCATCCCAGACATACCTTTGTTTGAAAACCCCCAGTGATGGAAACCCACAATTCCAGGAGATAGGCTGTTCTGCCACTTAATACCTCTCACAGTCAGAAAATTACTCCTTATTTTGAGTTTGAATCTCTTGTCTGTAAACCTTCTATCCACTGATTCTCATCCTACCCTCAGGACTATGGAGAATAAATCCATACCCTCTTCCCTGAGATAGCCCTTCAAGTTTTGGAAGACTGCTATCACATCTCCTCTTAGTCATCTCTTCTTTAGGTTAAACATATCCAGTCCTTTTAATGGTTCTTCATAAGATTTAGCCTCCAAGCCTTTTACTGTCTGTTATTTTTCTCTGCGCTCTTTCCTGTTCCTTACCATTCTTTTTGAATTGTGGTAACCAAAACTGAATGCAGTATTCCAGGTGCAGTCTGACTGGTGGAGTATAAGAGGTAATTATCACTTTCCATGACCTCAATACTATACATCTGTTGATGAACCCCAAGATTGCATTAGCTTTTTTGACAGCTGCAACTTGCTGTTGGCTCATGTTTAATCCGTAGTCTACCTGGATAACCAGATCCTTCTCATGATCCTGTTTTCTGAGGTGTTAGAAATCTCTCCCAGCTTTGTGGCATCAGCAGATTTGCTGAGCATACCTTCTGTCCCTTCATCTAAGTCATTTAGAAACAATTGAAGAGCACTGGGCCCAGGACAGAACCCTGATACTACACTGCGTATCTCTTAGCATGTAGACATAGATCCACTAAGGACCATGCATTGGGTATGGTTGCTGAACCAACTACAAACCATCTGATAGTGGGACCATCCATCCTACACTGTATGCTCCATTTTATTGACAAGGAGGCAATGGTCAACTTTATCAACAGCCTTACTACATCCACACCATTCCTTTGGTCTACTAATCTAGTCATGTTGTCAAATAAAGCAGTAAGATTTGTGTGGCACGATCTATTTTAACAAACCCAAGCTGGGTTCTAGCAGTCACCTTGTTTCTTTTGCTTGCAAACTGTTTAGATGTCTTTTCTAGGATTTTCCCAAGTACTGATGTCAAGCTGATTGGTCTGTCGTTTTCTGGGTCCATTTTTTCCCTTTTTTTAAAGATGGGAAGAACATTAGCTCTTCTCCAATCTTTTGGCATTTCCCCTCTACTCCAGATGTTCTCAGAGATTGCAGTCAGTTCACACTTGCCAGTTCCTTTAGTACCATGGAATATAATCCATTGGGCCCCTGGCGAGTTAAATTCATTCAAAGAACTAAGTACAGTGGTACCTCGGGTCATGAACGCTTCTGTTCACGACCAATTCGGGTCACGAAC